AGTCTCCGCTAGAACTCTTAGGTTTGGCTTCTTGCTTGCCAGAGCATGAGCCCCCAGGACAAGGGCCACGCTCGTCTTTGCACCAGTGTCCCCAGTGCCCTACGTGGGCCTGACACCCAGTAGGTGTTCAAGAAACAAAGGGACAAAGGCGAAAACAGCCCCTTCCAGGCTCAGTTCTCTCCCTCCTGCCCTCACTGTGCCCGCCTCAGGTTTGGCACCAGCTCGGAGGAGCCCCCAAAAGCCCATGTTCCAGTCTAAACGATGTGTGTGTAGGAAGTAGGTGCATTACAAAGTGAGAAAGTGTGAGACAAAGGGAACCAACTTTTTTTTTTTGAAGATTTTTATGAGGGAATTGGGGGGATGGGAACAGTGCTGGGGAATTGGGGGAAGGGGAACAGACAAGTTGCTGTCATTTTATTCTTCAGTCTAGTTGTGGAGGACGTTGCTTCACTGGCCCAAGTTGGCACCATCATTATGCTCTTCCCGGGCGAGGCAGATCAGTCGCCAGCTTCTGGATGGCCGCTCACGCTGGCTGCTGGCTACACACGGTAGCCCATGGCAACCCTCTGCCACAGGGACTGCAGCCTACGCCGTCGCCGGCGACTCATGGCAGCCCAGCTCCAGGTTGAGCTGTTGTTCAGCATCTTAGCTGTGGAGGGCAGTGCCACTGGCCCTCATATGTGGGATCCGAACCGGGGCCCTCTGGCGTCCCAAGCCAGTTCTTAACCATCACGCCAGTCGGCCAGCCCCCAACTTTGTTTTTTAGTGTCTGCTCTCTCTGCCAGGTATTGTCTACACCTTATAAACCCCGTTTTACCGACATGACACCCATTTTGAAAGGAACCTGAAGCTCCAGGAGGTGAAGTGTCATCTTCAAGGAGACATAGCCCATGTCTGTCCCATACCACAGCCCCCCTGCATGCTGCCTAAAACCCAGTTGGCAAAAAGAGAACCCAAGTTGTGGGCAGCCACGAGCCAGGTGGCCCTGGGAAGGCTGTGCACACAGGTGGTTAGCATGCTGGCTTGAGGGGGCCCTGAGCAGCGTGATTGGGGAACGCAAGCTCTGGTGACTCTCTTGTCTCTCTGACATGGCTGTGTGTGTGGCTGGCTTTTGCTGCTGCTGGATGTGGTGTGGAGGTGGGAGAGGCTTGGCCCATGGGTAAATGGGATGGGAGGAAATAGAGCTTGTGAACTGGAGCCCACTGGCCTGCTCAAGGTATTTTTTGGTTCGTTTTGGGGGGATTTTTTTTTGTAGTGGAATATGTAAAACATAAAATTTGCGGTTTGAACCATTTCTAAGCGTGCAATTCAGCATTAAGTCCATTGACAATGTTGTGCAACCAGCACCGTTATTTCCAAAATACAGGTCTTCAAATGATGTCCGTCATTTTATTCAATGTTATTTCGTTATAATATTGATGAGAAAAGATCAATTTCCAGTCGGGGCCTCTGTCTGTGTGGAGTTTACATGGCTTTGCATGGGTTTGCTCCAGTCACCCATGACCAGAACTGGAATAAGCATATGTTGGAAAATAATTCTGTGGTTTTTATTAACCTTTCTTAAGTGTACATATATAGTTCATATTTAGTGTTTAATATTAGAAGTGTTTTGGGTCTTTATTTAGAAGTTTGGTAATGTTTTTGTTACCAAAAATATGCCATAGGAACTTAACTCTTATTTATATCCATCAGTCTCTGATAAAATTGGTTTCCTTATACATCATTTCACTTAAGGTAACAGTTTCTATCATGACTTTGAGGACTTAATGTAGCGTTTGTATCACTCTAAATGGAAACTCTGTATCAGTTTAATAAATACCATCCTCCCTTCTTCCAGCCCCAATAACCACTAATATATTTTCTGTGTCTATGAATGTGCTTGTCTAGATACTGCATATAAGTGGACTCATTCAGGGTTGTCCTGTTGTATCTGCCTTATTTCACTTAGCATAATGTTTTCAAAGTTTATCCATGTTGTAGTATGTGTCAGAATTTCATTCCTCTTTATGACTGAATAATATTCTACTGCATGGGTAGACCAAATTTTGTTTACCCATTTATGTGGCAGTTTTTCAAAATGTAAACAACGTCAGTCACCAATATTTTAAAGTGTGGATTTTTACATTATGTTGCAGATTTCGTTTCTTCTAAAAACTTGGAATGGTGGCCACCTGAGGTCTGGGCTCCTGGTGCCTCACAGGTTCCATTTGCCCAGCCACTTCCCTCACCAGGCTGGGGCGGCATCTGAGTAGTGGGGAGGGGGTGCCAGCTGGAGCCAGCGCCTGAGGCTCTCTGGCTGGGCAGCCCAAGTGCATAGCCTTGGGGCAAGGGCGTTGGCAACTCCAGAGTTTGAACCGCCACCCTGGGTTCCTGAGCTAGGAGCGCCTGCCCGTGTCTCTTCAGTACCTGAGTCTCCTACATGCTCACACCTGGGGAAGCACAGGGCAAGGGGTCCATACTTCCGGAGGAAAACCTGGTCGGGGAGGCCGGTGGCTGGGGTGCTGCCTCTGGGCCTGTGCAAGGAGTGGTACTGCAAAGGGCCATGGGCCTCATGCCAATGCAACAGTGACAGCTCACCGTGTGCCAGGCATGGTGCCCGTTGACCCTCCTAGCAACTCTTCCTTCTCAGAGGAGGAAGACAAGACCCTCCAAGGTCAAGCAAGTGGGCACCTGCCAGAGCTCATAGGAGCTCAGACGATTGGCCAGTATGGGTATCCATCCTTGCCCTCCAGTTCCCTGGCCCAGCAGAGGCCCCTGATCCTCAGGTGTGGGGGCTTCTTGGGCAACAGGCCCTGCCCTGGGGGGAGGTAGGCAGCTCTCAGGACCAACCCTGGGCCAGGTGAAGGAGGCACGAAGTATCCCTTGGTGTGACAGGCACCAGGCAGGGCTGTGAGTTCCTCCTTTCTAGGGACAGAAGAAGAAGGAGGCTCGCTCTGAGGCGGCAGCTTTGAGCCAGGCCTTGAATTGAAGGCTGACTGACAATTTACTGAGCTAGAAGCAACATGGCAGGCAGACAGCAGAGCCCAAGCAAGGTCTGGACATGTGAGGTCCGGGGTGGCCAGTATAGTGGGACCTGGGCTTGGGGGAGGCTGCATGGAACCAAGATCACTGGGCAGGAGTCGACTCTATTCAGCAGGCTGTGGGGAACAGGAAGGTTATGGAACTAGAGCAGTGGTGATAAGGCCAGTGCTGGAAAAGGGTAGGGTGGAAACATGCGCTATGGAGGGGAGCTGGGATGCTGAACAAGGAGGGCAGCTAAGGAGGCTGGACTGGATGGGCGGAGGGAATGGGTGTGGTCTACAAATTGGAGGGCAGTTGGTGGCCCATTTACTTTCATGTGGTTCAGTGATGAGAATCTGCACCCCCCACCCCCACCCTGCACTTTGGTTGTAGTCACTATTTTGTTTCCTAGCTGGGACAGACGGGGTCAGCACACAGTAGGTGCTCAGTAAATACTGCTGGGTAATTTGTTAATTCCACAAACGTCTAGATTGGTGCTGGAGATACTGCAAGAAGAAAACCAGACCCATCTGTGATAGAGGAGGAGGGGATGGGCAGTGTGGTCCCAGAGGTAGTAAGACCGCAGGCCTGGAGACTCGGGGGTATAGCTGAGTGAGGGGGAAGCGGTGGGGGAGGCTGTGAGCAGAGCCTTGAGCTGCCCTGCAGAAGGATGGAAGAGCCGTGGCTGCCCAGAGGAAGGGGGTGCAGCCTAGCCCGGGAGACCTGCGGCAGCGGAGGGGGAGGGGTGCCACTGCGCCTAGGCCTTTCCCATCCCCCTCTGACCGTGGCCCCGGCTGCTTGATGGGCAGCCCGGCTCCGCCCCCAGACAGCCAGCGATTGGTTGAGGCTCTAGAGCTGCTCGGTCGCCATGGGGACGCTCTGGAGGCGCGCGTGCCCAGTGCCCAGCACCAGGGACTAAATCTTCATAATCTGTCGCTGCGAGGGTGGGGGTGGGGTCCTGCCCGACCCTGGCCCGGGGGAAGGGGCGGCCTAGGATGTGGTCAGGGCTCACTGTGCCCGCCCCTCCCCTCCCCAGCTTTGGGTGCAGGTGCAGAGCCGCACAGGAACCACATGGTACTCACCTGACAGTGACCCGGGAGCTCTAATATAGCGTCGGTCTCTGCAGTCTCAGCTGATCAAGCAGGAGGCTGGGTGCGGGAGAAGGGCCTGGAATTTATCTGAAAATATCTGACCCGCCAGTTAAAGTTTGTTCTGGATCTCCTAGGCAATGCTACGCTCTCTGCAGCAGGGGGCGCCCTTGGCAGAGCTTTGTTGGGCTGTCACCACATGAAAGCAGGGATTGAGGTGCAGGGGATGCATACCCCAGACCCTGCAGCCCTGTCTCCGGGTATCCAAGGTTACTGGGCTATGCACAGACCGCAGATCTGGGGGATGGCCTTAGGCTGCCGGGATTGGGCCGGGCCTGCCAGGGAGTGGGTAACTGGTGGGGTTACAATGGAGCCATCCCTTCCCCAGGCAGAGAAAGGAGAAATCCCAGGGCCTGCTTTGGGGAGGGGGTCCTGTGGGAAGAGGGTGTGAAGGGGCAAGGTTGCAGTGAGTTGGAGGAAGAAGGGGGTGCTGGCCAGGCCCCAAGCAGCTTCTGGGGTGTCCAAGGACCTCTGGCCAGCAGCAGGCTGGTCAGACTTGAAGTGGAATGCACTCACTTCCAGGCCCTTGAAACTGGGCCTCACATGAGCCTGGGTGTGGCGTTTGTGGGTGTGGAGTGCAGGAGACCACCACACCCTGCACACTCCGTGGCCACTCTGGTCCGAACCGCCATAGTTTGTGGCAGAGGGACCCTGCCCCCATCTGGGGTTGGGGCAAAGCTAGCCTCTTGAAGCCTCTAAGAGGGGCAGCTATGCTCACCTCCAGCCCAGGGATGCTTGTGAGGACAACACAGGGCAAGTCCTCCCTGTGGCTGCCGTGGCCACGATACCCTGGGGAGTCTTAGGGGACATTGTGTGCTGGTTGGGGCCTCACACCCAGGCTTCTTGTTTCAGACGACTCCTCGTCTGAGAGTGGCAGCGGCAATGGCTCCTCCACCCTGAACCCGTCCACATCCAGCAGCACGCAGGGCGACCCCGCCTTCCCCGAGATGAATGGCAACGGCGCCGTGGCCCCCATGGACTTCACGGCTACCGCTGAAGATCAGCCCATCAACCTGTGTGATAAGCTCCCGCCAGGCACGGCGCTCGGCACACCCTCCTACCCCTCAGACGGCTGCAGCACCGATGGACTGCGGAGCCGCGTCAAGTACGGGGTGAAGACCACCCCTGAGGTGTGTGGGGCTGCGGGCTTTGGGCCCACCTGAGCCTTTTTCTTCCTGGACGTGTCAGGGTGTGCAAGACTGAAATGAAACTAGATGTGCCCAGGGTTGACGCCAAGTCAGGGTGGTGGCCATGCTGCTATACCGTGATGTTCCTGGGGAGGCTCTGGACCGGGAGACCTGTGTGTGACCTCAACAAGACCCTCACTTCTCTGAGCCTGTGTCCCCATCCATGAAGTGGGGTTATGGCCTCTGCCTCTGAAGAGGTGGTAGGTGATGTGTGGCCTGTCCCTCTCCACACCCAGGACAATCTGCTGTGGATAACCGCAGCAAGTGGCCACATCCAGCACACAGGCCCAAGGCCTCATGTTTTGTGGCTGCTCTGCATTTTACAGATGGTGCAGAAAAGGGGTAAGGCCTTTGTTTGTGGCCCAAGGGATACAGACAGACCAGGCTGATGGGGGGTGAGGGAAGGGTGGGCAGGGCAGATGTCCCCCCTGCTTTCTGGGGCCTCCCCTCATACTCCTGCGAGCTGCCTCCTGTAGTGTAGTACTGAGCATACGAGCTCGCCTGGGAGCATTTCCTCCTGCCAGGGCTGAGGGCCAGAGCTGCCTTCGTGGAGCCCTACATGCCTGGGCTCCAGCCACGTGCCCCTGCACAGGTTCCTTCCTCTCCCTCAGCCTGTTTTCTCTTCTGCAGGGGGATGGGGTGAAGGCCACTGCTTGCCTCTGATGGCGTCTCAGGGGCAAGTTCTGTACAAATGGCTAGGAGTTTAGTTGTCTGAGTCTGAGCTTAGGCCATGGAGCAGGTACTGGCCAGAGCATAACCTTCCCATCTTTGACTAGGTCTGAGGAACAGGCATAGCTGCTGTCCACAGTGAGCAAAGAGCTGGAAAGGGAGAGTTTGCCACCATGGCCACATGTGTGGGCCGAGGAAGTGAGATGGGAGCATGAATGCCACCAGCAGCTGGCGTCTTACAGTTTCTCTGTCTCCTCTGATGCTAACAGAGGATTGGCTGAGGAGCAGCTTGCAAATATGACTTGCACAGGTGGTCTTTTGACTCTCCATTCCAAGCCTAGCATGAGGCAGCAAGAGGCCCTGGGGAGGCTGATCCCTGTGGACATGTCACGGGGAGGCCTGGTGGTGGCAGCTGCTTGGATTCTGGGCACCATTCAGTGTCTTTATCTTCTTCCATTGGTTTGTCAGCAAAAGCTGTGATCCCTTTCCAGGCCACCATGTGACCACATTGCAGGGTCTCACCCTGCAGCTGTTTGCTGTTTATTTCCTGGACTCGACCACCTGCTAGATGCTCACCTCCTTGAGGGCAGGGGCCATTCCCAGGGCATTGCTAGTCAGGACCCCAGTGAGTGAAGTCAGGACTCACCAGAGATGCAAACTTTCTAAAAGGCAAATGACAGTGGTCCTCACAGAGCCTTTTCAGGGCAGGGACCAGAGGGTAGGAGCTGTAGAGGGTGAAAAAGATGGAGAAAACTGGAGGCTGGGTCCCTTCTCTGCTCTCAGAGTGGGTGAATGCCCGGTGGCTTGCACTGGTTCCGTTCCCCTTTCAACACACTCTGCACTGGGGCTCACAATGTCTTCCTGGGGACAGTGGCAGACAGGAGAACTCCAGCTTTGGGAATGCATTTTTCCTAATGGACCTGTTACCTTGGCTGGTTCCCTCTCCCAGTCCATCTGTCCTCCTCCCCAACAGACACCACATTTGCTACTTTTGTGACAGTTCGGTCATCAACTCAGGGTTGTAGTCCCTTGGGGATCAGGGAGGAAACCCTGAAGCCAGAACAGATCTTGGCACAACCAGAAGAGGCTGGTGGGAACACTTTCTGTGTCTGCCTTTCCCTCGCATGATGTGGCGGGTCCTGGTGTGGGCACTGCTGCTGAGTAAACCACTAATATACCCTCCACTCAGTGCCTCCAAGGGCACCAGGCCATTGCGTGTGCTGTTATAGGCAGTCTTTCCTACAGCCGCCCAGGGAGGGGATGGCAGCATTGCTGTCCCCATTTCACAGATGAAGGGAGTGGGGAGAGGTGACCTGCTTGGGGCCTCGCAGCCGTGGATCACGTGGCAGCTGGGTGTACTTGCCATCCTAGTTTCCAAGCTCAGCATGGCCTGTCAGAGGTCATGAGAGAACCTGGCCTGACCCCTGCCCTCTCTCAGTCCCCCCCCTATAGCTCTGGGAGCTACGATTCCATCAAGACAGAGGTCAGTGGCTGCCCTGAGGACCTGACTGTGGGCCGGGCTCCCACAGCAGATGACGACGACGATGACCATGATGACCATGAAGACAATGACAAGATGAATGACTCTGAGGGCATGGACCCTGAGCGCCTGAAGGCTTTCAACGTGAGTGCCCGCAAGGGATGAGTTGGGTGGGGGTGGCAGCCAGGACCAGCTCTTCCCACAGCCTGTCTCTCCCACAGATGTTTGTGCGTCTCTTTGTGGACGAGAACCTGGACCGCATGGTGCCCATCTCCAAGCAGCCCAAGGAAAAGATCCAGGCCATCATCGAGTCCTGCAGCCGGCAGTTTCCCGAGTTCCAGGAGCGGGCCCGCAAGCGCATTCGCACGTACCTCAAGTCCTGCCGGCGCATGAAGAAGAACGGCATGGAGATGGTGAGCCCTTCCCCTGCGCAGCCACTGACCTCTAGCCAGACACATTTCCCATAATCCTCTCCAAGCCCCAGAAGCAGGCACCGTGATCCCTGTTGCACAGAGGCGGGAACTGAGGCCCAGAAAGATGTCACAGCTCCATAGACAATGGCACCAGAGCCCAAACCCCAGTCCTGCACCACCCACCACACGAGCAGGCTCTCTGTGCAAGCCTAGCACTGCTCTGTCCCCATTCACCTGCAGACCAGACCCACGCCTCCCCACCTGACCTCGGCCATGGCAGAAAACATCCTGGCAGCTGCCTGTGAGAGCGAGACAAGAAAAGCAGCCAAAAGGATGCGCCTAGAGATCTACCAGTCCTCGCAGGTACCTGCTCACTGCTGCTGCTGTTGGGTCGCTCCCGGGCAGATGGACATCAGTCATTCCACAGACACTGGAGCCCCGAGTGCAGAGGGAGCAGGGAGAGCAGTCCTGAGGGTGGGGGAACTACCAAGGGGGCAGGGGTGATGGGGTGGGAGGGGAGCAGCCCAGTTGCCAAGGCCCTGCAGACCCAGGAAGAGTGTCTAGTTTTCAGCCCAAGGGCCCTGGAAGTGTTTTCAGAGGGGCAGGAACAGATCAGATCTGCCCAGCAGAGATGAGCAGAGGTGGAGGCCCGTGGCGAGACGACCAGTGACGGGGAGCAGAGTCCTGCAGCCTTTGCCCAGGGACAGTGGTTGGGCCTTGCTGCCCCTTTGGTTCCCTAGCACCTCCCTCCCCACTGCAGGACGAGCCCATAGCCCTGGACAAGCAGCACTCTCGTGACACCGCAGCCATCACCCACTCCACCTACTCACTGCCAGCCTCCTCCTACTCCCAGGACCCTGTGTATGTCAACGGCGGCCTCAACTACAGTTACCGTGGTTATGGGGCCTTGGGCAGCAACCTGCAGCCCCCTGGCTCCCTGCAAACAGGAAATCACAGTAATGGTGAGTGCGGGAGACCCAGGTTCTCTGGCCCCCTGACCAGCATCCGGCTGGTCTACACTGTAGCCTTGGGAAGGGGGTAAAGTGGCTCCTTCGTGGTACAGGGATCCTCCCCATCTCATAATCTTAACCAGTCCTTAAATTGGAAAACAAGGAAGACTTCAGCTGATTAAAACAAAAAGCCTACTCTCGTCTCGCCTCCAAGGAGGCATCTTCGTTTGTTGCACTGCTGGGCCTGTCTCTGGCTCCACTCCCCCCTCAAGGCCACTGTGAGCACTGAGTTCCAGCCAGGCCCTGCTCTTTTCCCGAATTGAGTCCTCTTCACACCCCCATCTTACCCACACTGACCAAGGCTCAGGGAGACAGTGGTGCAGCCAAGATCTGGCCCAGGCCTGGTCCAGGTCAGCGGCAGTCTGGCTGGCCTGCCAGGTGGCTGCTGGCACATCACCTCCCTCTCCAGGCCTCAGCTCAAGACCTCACTTGAGAGATGGCAGTTCTTTCTTGGGTGCAGGGCCTCAGCCCTTGCCCCATCTAGGTCACCTGGGGCCGTGATTCCTCAGGTGCTCCCTGTAACTCTTCCTAGGCAACTCTGATGCCAACAGGACATAGACCGGTATTGTAGAGAATCCCTAAAAAGAGGCAAGCCTCCCTGTGGAGTTAGGTGATGTCCTGAGTGGGGACCTCAGGCCCATTCACACTGGGGCCAGGGTGGGTGTGGGTGTGGCAGGGGAAGAGCAGATCCCACGGGTGGAGAGCCACCTAGTGGCTTCGTGACCAGGCAGGGATGGTGGAGTGATCTCAGGGCCTCTTGGGCCAGGCACTTGGATTTTGTTCTGTGTTCAGTGGGAGACACTGATAGGTTTTGAGCAATGGAGGCTGTGAATTGTGCTGTCTGCCCTTGTGGTAAGATTTGAATGGGGGTGGGGGAGCAGAAGGCAGAAGCAGTATACGTTCCGGGTCAAAGGGTAGTGGGAGGGGAAGAGCTGAGGGTGAACCAAGCTGCTGCTTGAGGAGTAGGTTGGAGAAGGGTACCGCCCACAGGCCAAGGAACCCTGGTTCTAGGTCTTGGCTGAACATGGCTGAGAATTCCCCTCAAGCCCTTGACTGCAGGAGACCGCTTGGTGTCCCTGGGCAGCGAGGGAGGGGACTGGTCCCTACCCATGGCAGAAAGCCCAGGCACCTTCCACTTACCTCCCCACCACCAGGAAGCATGTGCAGGTCCCTGGAAGATTCCTACCTGGACTTAACGTCTCATCCCTTCCTAATGCCTCTTAACCTAAAATAAGAGGCTGCTGGCCCTAATCCCTGAAACGGAGGCCAGGGTGGCTGGCCGCAGCGAGGGGTGGGACGGCTGTCCCAGGCGGGCTGCTTTCCTTCCAGAAAGAAGAGCCATCTCTCAGTCCTCAGGGGGACCCTGTAAATGTGTATCTGAAGACAAGTCCCAGGACAGGGAGGTTAGAAGCCCTTATTAGACCCAGGGCATCTGGGGCCGTCCTTTCCAGGCAGCAGGCGATGGCGATAAGCCTCCACCTGGCGCCATGCAGCATGGCCTATCCCAGGGCTGCAGCTGTCGGGACTGCGCCAGCCTCTTGAGGGCCCTGGGCCTGCTGCATGCGCTGTTCACACCTGCCTGGGAGGCTACTGGCTCTGCGCCTCCTGGAGCCTCAGCGTCTGTGAGCATCCTGGTTCCTTAGAAGTGAGGTCACCAAGGCAGAGATCTGCTCATTTACCTCCTTGCCTTGGGCAGCATGTCCGGTGGGCACTGGGCTTGAGTCCAGCAGTTAGACGAAAGCAACAAGCAGCTGCGTGGCTGCAAGGGTCCCAGTCCTCCTGCCTTCCCCAGCAGCAGCCCTCTAAATGATCATTCAGTCAGTTTAGTACCTGGGTTGGACAGCTGTACCAGTGGCTCAGAGCGCCTCACTTTGCTCATTAGGTTGTCATCTGGAGATGCAAATCAGCTTAGATAGAATCGGGCTCTGCCTGCCTTGCCTGGGGTGCTGGGCAACTCTGTGCTTCTCCAGCCCCTCCAGCAACCACCTGGTAACCTGAGCATTCTCCTGTAACTGGAGCTGGAGAGAGGGTGGCTCCAGATCAGATTGACTGAAGCAAACAGGGACATTCTCCTTTCTGGGGTGTAGCTACAGCCCAGAGAGGAGGACAGCTCTGAGCGCAGGGTGAAGACGACAGGACTTGGGGATGGAGGTAGGAGAGGGAGGGGGCCCAGGGCCAGCGCACCACCTGTGGCAGGTGGTTCCAGCCTTCCTCTGCTGTCCCCAAGCATTGTCTGAGGGGACTGGGAGCCAGCAGAGGCACCCCTGCTCCCAGCCTTTCATTTGGCCACCAACATGAGAATCAGCCGCCTACTTGGCTGCTGTTTTCAGCAAGTCACAGCCCCTCCTTCCTCCTGCATTTCATTTGAACAGACTTAACTGTCCTCTTGCCTCTCAATTCCAAGGATGTTCCTTGGCAAACCAGCTCCTAGGACCTCCTTCCTGACATCCATGTTCTCTAGTTAGAGAGGAAATAACCCCATGTGACACACTGTCATCTTAGACTCCAACTTCCTTCCCCATTTGGGAGCTGCGGCAGCTTCCTTTTAACAGCAGCCGAGTTTCCATAATTTCTCTTATGATGTTACTTCCCGTCTAGATGTCTCCAGTGACAAGAGCTTGTCCACCTCTCTTTATAGCAGTCTAAAAACTGCCACTGTAGATGCAATAATGAGCGAAACCACTACCAGAACCTACAGGGTAGTGAAGAGATGGCTGATAACTGAGAACAGCCTCGCACACCACGTACAATAACCTCTGCATACAGGCAACGGGGGAGGGAACCAGGACGGACCTAGAGGGCTCAGAGAAAGCCTCCCTCCGGCAACTCCGGCTTCCACAGCCCCAGAGCCTCGCTTCTTGGCTGTTTTCTTGCTGAACACCTTGAAAGAATGCTTTTCAAATTCCAGGAGGATCCCAGTCTCCTGGGAGCCCATTCAGAAAGCCTGACGCCTGTCTGGCAGCCCTTTCCCAGTGGGCCTCTACCGGCTAAGAAACGCTGGCCATGCTGAGGGTTTCACAGGTGTGGCTCAGCCCCACAACAGCTTCCTCATGTTGCACACAACGGGCCAAGGCTTAGGAAAGTTAGAGAATGGCCTGTGGAGCAGCAGAGCGGGCCTCCAGTCCAGGCTCCCCTGGTTCCAAAGCCAGGGGCCAACCCCACAGAGCTGCTTGGGAAAGGCAGAGAGGAAACAGGGCCTATTATGTTAAGACGTTAGGCTCCCTCCTTACTGCCACTGTCCAAGGGCAAAGGGGAGGTGATTTCTCAGGACAGCACCTCTGGGTCCTGTCCTGACCATCCTGTCCCACCTCACACTCCTATCCCAGCAGCAGGACCCTCCTCAAAGTAAGGAAGGTTCGAGGTGCCACAACTCCTCAGAGATGGGCTTAACAGCCCAGCCCCTCCTGCGGGCTCTGGTCACAATCTGGCTGCTCAGGCCCCCCCTTTCCCACAGCCACGCAGGGCAGCTGGCCAGAAGCCCCTTCCCTGTCTGAGCATGCACGTGCGTGTTTCTTTTCCTGGTCTTCTGTGGCTGACACTGGGGACCCTGCACTTGTCCCTCTCACGGATCAGGCCCCTGCCTATCTGCAGCGTCTTGAACACCTCTGCTGACAGCTGCCCTGTTAAGGACCTCACACATACCTGTACTCCCACCAGACACGTTGGCAGCCTTCCTTCTTGGTACCATCAGTTCCCAGTCGCAGCTCTGCTCACCATGTTGGGGAGTCAGGGAAGTTCCTCTGCCTCGAGGCCGCCTCCTCACCTGGAGACCAGAGCCGGGCTGTGTGCCTATTGGGGGAGCACCGTTTACCTGACGGGCCTCAGAAAGCAGCAGAGGTGTGACCGGTGCCAGGGAGCCCTGTTCCCTGTCTGACACCACCACCCATGCCCTGTTGCATGCTACCCTGCCCTGAATGCAGAGCCACATGCATGTGTGTGATCTTGGGTAAACCTCTCACCCGCCAGGCCTTGGCTTCTTCCACTTGTCACACAGTGACAACAGGTCTCAGGACCCTCCTTGCAGGATTACCCTAAGGGTTAATGGAGAACCCATGTCTCATCTCCGGGTACCAGGCCCCATTCTAGGCACTAGGGTGCAACCATCAAGACAGGGGCCTCAGGCCCAAGTGCCTGACCCACAGCACGCCCCCAAGACAACATAAAGGATGATGACACCTCCCAGGTGCCATGCAAGGTGTCCACTCCCCCCTCACGCTCCCTCTCCTTTTCCGCAGGGCCCACAGACCTCAGCATGAAAGGTGGGGCCTCCACCACCTCCACCACACCCACGCCCACGCCCTCCAGCAACAGCACCAGCAGGACCATGCCCACCGCCCAGCTCAGCCCCACGGAGATCAGCGCTGTACGGCAGCTCATCGCCGGCTACCGAGAGTCTGCCGCCTTCCTACTGCGCTCAGCAGACGAACTGGAAAACCTCATTTTACAGCAGAACTGACCCCAGCGGCCCCTGGCGTGCACTACCCTCGGGAAGGAGGCGGACACAGCCCCGGACCTGGCTTCTTGCCTCACCAGTTGGTACATTTTGGTTTTTGAAAGAGGTGGGATCCAAAAGAGTTGTTTCTAGCCACACTCCAAGCACCTGAGACTTTGGGCACAAGGACACTTTTTTTTTGAAATCTCACCACACAGGTGCTCTGACCTGCTTGGAAGAGGCCAATGGGGCAGCTTTGGAAGGGCTGGGGATCCCCTGACAAGGCGCTGGGGCCGCAGCTCTATTTAGAATCATCTTTGTGGACCCTGATGTTAGAATCCCACCCCCAGATAATTACCTTTCAAGTCTTAGGTGAGCAGAATTGCATATTTATTAAGAAAAACAAAGTGGACCCTTCTTCCTCTCTCCCCTTAGTAATTTATTTTTCTGAAAATGGATTCTTTTGTGTTTGTACAGATTGCCAGTCTGTGTCTGTCTGATCAAGAGGCTGTCTCCCTGTGACCTAACATTCCATATCACTACACTGGCACGGGCGGGGGCCGGCAGGGTGGGGCTGTGGTGGGGCAGGCGCCAGGCTGGCTATCTCTCTGAGTGCCCAGCACCGCCAAGCGGGAGGACCTCACCCATACCCATGCAAAGCAAAGGCAAACACACATGGCTCCCCCCATCTCCCAGCCCCACATTCCACACAAGCCCCAGTCACGGCCACCTGTATTCTACCTCACACTCCAGCGGGGGCTTTTTCCAGGATGTGCCCTGAGCCTGTTCTGAATGGCTGTCTCGCAATTCCCCCCACACTCCCCCCCCAATGCGTCTGCCTGGGAGGTAAGTCCAGATGGGTGGCAGGAGCTGGGCCCAGAGAGGGCCCTGGCCCGGGTCTTCCCAGCTGCTAGACAGGACAGAGCGCTGGGAGCAGGCAGCCAGTCAGCAGGGTCCCTGCCCCCAGGGAGCCAGCTTGAACCCTTCTCCACACAGACCCAGGGCCCTCAGATACCTGCTGGGAAGGTGCCGTTTCTTCAGGGTGAGCCCCTAGCTGTCAGGCAGCCAACCACCAAACAAGAAGCTCCTGGGCGGACTGTAGCTCCCATCCCCTGCTCCCATGGTTGAAATAAAGGGACCATCAACAGAACTGGAAAAGCCACTTGGGTTTTCCTAGGACCCAGCCTCCTTCTGGAGGGATCTGTCCTAGAAGAAACCCATAATCCCTGGAGTGTGAAAAAGGGTGGAAGAAAAGGCCGGCCTGGTCTCCTTCCTCCCGATAGACGCTTCCTCTTGCTCAGTGCAATACCTACCAGTGCTGCTAAAACCAGGGATTCATCCAGACCTCAGAAGGCCCCCGGGGCCTCTCCATGCAGCACTCCGTAGCCATGACAGCAGCCCTCTGCTGCCCGCCCCTGCCCAGAGCTGGCAGAAGCCCTCTGTTGCCTTTCCTCCCTGAGAGCAAAGAGGCCCCAGGGGAGCCAGGGCCGAGTGGACCCCAGGACAGCCACAGAGCGCCACTTGACCCCTGAGCAGGCACCCCTTCCCAAACCAGCTTCTCTGCAGCCAACTGCCTCCTGGCACTGTGGCAAACCACCCTCAGGAGGGGCAGGGTGGGGGCTCCAGTGTGGGTGCCCCACCCTGCCTCGGATCCCTAAATGCTGAAAGGTAGGGTGCCCCACCCCATGCTTACTTCCAGTCCCTAGAGGTTGGGGGTGGTCTTTTCTCTCTCAAGTGGCCTCCAACACTCCACTCCACCTCGCCACCTCTGCCTTCCATCTGACCCCACCCCCAGGCCTCCAGTCAGGGCCAGGACACCCCAGACTTCCCCTTAGCACAGCACAAACTCCAGTGCCCAAGACCTCTCCCACACCCCAGCCATCTACACATCTAGCCCCCCCTGCTCAGTACACTCCCTGATGTTTGAATTTGTGTAAATATTTATTTTTGTGTGTGAACAATATTACAAAGTAATCAGTAGATCTTTTGCAAAATGTTACCCCAGGCAATTTGTGAAAATCTTAATGTTAAAAACTGGCAGAGACAATCGCCGCCTTAGAATTCTTGATATCAATTGCTTAACATGTCATTTCTCCTCCCAGAGGCAGTCCCCAAGCCAGGCACGAGTGGTTTGCTCCTAACAGACAGGAGTGAGAAAGACCACACAAGGGATTAGATCGAAAGATCAGTATAAGCTACAGTTTGAAGTCGCGTTTTTCTGAGTTCAGGCTGCCCTAACTGACCACTTTCAGCCGACTTAAGTACTGCGGTAAGAGCGGAGTTTCAATGTGTTTTAAAGAGAAAGGAAAGGACCGCCAATGGTACTAGTCCACTGGGGCTTCCAGCAGCCCCTCCAGGATGGGATTCTGTCGTGTCGACCCTACCTTTCGGGTGGGCTCCTTCCCAGTGAAGCTACACCTGAAGCTCTGGACATGGCAGAATCAGGAGCAAGTTACTGTGTGGAAACAGGATTCCATTAGCTAGTTCAGTCAGGGAACTTGTTCTGTTTTGCTTTTGTTTTAAAAGATGCAGCTGCAACCCAGTCCCTCTCCTGCTGTGGGGAGCATCCCAGAGCTGGTTCTGCTGAACCCCGCTCCAGCCGTCCCACCCTCACCCTGGGGGACTGCCTTCTCCCCAAAGCCCTGCCCCACAGCCATTTAAAATTCTTAACGGAGGGAGGGCCTCAGGGCACAAGTGAGTCATTTGGGATCCAAAGTTAAAAAGGTAACGGAGAGTAGAACACACCAATTCCAGAGTCTTTGCAGGGGGCTAATCCCGAGAGAAGGGTGCAATCAGGAGAGTGGGGATTGGTCTTAGTTGGCGGATCACCTAGAGCATCTGAAATTCACTTACCCTCAGCACTCGTACAAGCGGACAGTGTACACCCAAGGACAGCATGGGGGGGGGGAACAGGGGACAGGCAGGGGCTAGGAGGTTTTAGAGTATTTCAAACAGGTGGAACCCCACCATCCCTATTCCCAAGGGCCACTTAGGACTCCGGGGGTGGTTATAGGATTAATTACCAGTTCATTTTCAAAATGCTGCTTTGAACTCAGAGGGTTGATACTTTTAATTTGTAATTTTTTGTAAAACTTTTTACAAAATAGTAAAGTATTTCACCAGAATACCAGTTTCAATCCGTCCATGGTCTGATTTTTATATAATTTAGTGGTGCTTTAGAAACTTTGTTTTTGTTGTTTCTGAGCTCAACAGCTCGATCCTTTTTCGCCTGTATCTACCTAAGACCAATGTGAACCTTTGTATTTTTGCTCCTAATTTTGGACTCAGTGAAAGTGTACTGTTTACATGTACAGATGCCCCAGTCCCTGTGTGTTCTGCAAGACTCGCTCCTGAGGAGGAAGGGGCACCTCACCAGGCCCACCTGCTTAGCAAAGCCACAAAACAAAAACCTCTCACTTTCTACCTATGTTTCCACCTAAAAACAGAAACAGAAAACCTACACCACACAGAACTCAGATTTGCTGAAACACACTTTTCTAAGCTCAGAAAAAGCGCCGCGCGGCAGATGGCCCATATGCGTCTATCACGTGGTCCGTTCAGAAGTAGGGGTCAGAACAGATTTCCTGTGGCCGCTGGGGGATGGCTGTGCGGACAGATGAAAAGGGAAAGCAGGACTCCGCTGCAGAGCTATGGGATGGATATGTTCTCCCAGCAGCCTGGGAGGACATTGGAAGGTCAAGATGACTCATGTGACCTTCAGGGTCAAGCCACTCAGGATATCAGGACAACCCAAGACTGACTTGACCCAAGTCAGTCCTCTGGCATAATTCAGACATGTTTTGGAGGAGCGTGAGTTCCGTATCTGAGATGAGGCTTTAAGACTCCAGTGCAGATGGCACAAGCATTTCTGCAGGGTTCCCCTGGAGGCAGCTTGTGCACGAGACATCACCTCTGGAGAGGGGCAGGGGGCTACAGACGATAAGCATATGGCACTTAAGGCAAAGAGTGGATGGCACCGACTTTTAAAGGTGACTCTTTATTACTTAATCAATGGCTTCACCTCTAAATTATATTTTTACAGATATGCACCTATGCAACTTAACGTGGCTCTTCTAAGCAGGTGGGGACTTCCTCCTCAATGCTCTATAAAAATTCTTTGTGTTCTATATAGTGAGTTTTTCCAGTAAATGTGGCTTAATATTTTAATTCTTAGACTGTGTCTTCTCTATGTGATGCAACTAAATTCTGTTTTGTTTGTGGAATGACTAGCACAGGCCAACTCCCTCTCCCCTCACTTAACAAAAGACCAATGAGCTGTTAATCGAGCTGTTATCTCCATGGTATTACTTGCTAAATGCACTGATTTCATAAGTATGTGGAATCCTTTTTCTTTTGAATCTGTATATCATATATAAGACTGAATCTACTTAATAAACACTGAATAACAAACTGAATGCTTTATTTCCACGGTGTCCTCTCTACAGCAGCACTACCAGCTAGACCTCTTCCTTCTAAATCTAGTTTGGCACTGACATTCCTTTCTACTGGTAGATTCTACCTTTTCCTAGCAAAAAAAGCTAGCACACAGGTCCTTGGTAAATTTTCTTGAACAGATGAACTTGTCATTTCCTTCAGCACCTAGCCCGTTAGGTGAAAAAAACGAGCCTTCACTGGTGTTCACCAGGTGCCATGTTAAAATTTCGTGGTCACCTTCCCAGGGAGGTGCTCTTCCCCCCACTTACGGGTGTTAGCAGAGGCACACTGGGGGCACACCTCGCCTAAATTCAGCCAGTGACCAAGCAAGGTCTTAAATGCAGCTGGTTCCCTGCAAACCGAGCCCTTCCCACTCCCCTCACCCCAGGGCTCTGCTCTTCACTGACAGAAACCAAACTCACTTAACAATCCCCAAGCAAGCGCTGGCTTGGAAAACTGAGGACACACCATTCCTGGTCCTGAACCTTCACTACATGACATCCCCACTCAACCCCAAACCCCAGATTCCACCTTGAAGGAGACAAAAGGGCTGCTTTTTCCAAAGACGTTTACTTGTGCACAGACTTTTTTTCATTCTACATGTATCATTTAGGTTACACTTTAAAAGAAAGCTTGCAGGAATATGGGTAGGGACAAAACGCATTGTCATGAGTTCAAAAACAATTCTGATCATGTGCCATGTGAGTTAAAAGCATAAACTGAAGTTTTACTGTTAAAAATTGTGTATGTGTGTCTTGTGTGTACAGATATGGCAGTTGTTTTCATAACATTTTTTATAATGGCAAAAGAATCTTTTTAAAATAGAAATTCTGTGCAGTTGCCAAGTATATAAAATAAAAGGAGAGAGGCCAATAATTTGAGGCCACTGTGGCCAGGGAGGACACTCTGGGACTGATTCATAGAGTAGCAAACAGTCAAAGCAGATGGCACCTCGGCACCCCATCTTTTCACACGCACGTGGGGGCCATGGGCAGCAAATCCTCAGCAATACCATGAACATACCTGTCTTACTGAAACTACCACTGCTGACCATAAATCCCTGCAACCTGGAACACATCCAGAACGCAGACACCACACGCAGGCCGTGCTGGCCGAGCGGGAAAGCTCTTACCTGAAGATGAAGTGTGGCTGCTCTGCGGGAGCACTGGGATCTGGGAGACATCACTGGAGGGCAGAGAGGCGCTGCTTGGTCCCCGTCTGGCTTCTTTAAATGGCACTCCCGACCACTGCTAACAGTGTACAGGACAACATCAAATGGGAATGCTCATTTTAGAACAGGGAACTTGGATTTACTCAGTGACCAAACAGGCAGCCCTCACTTCAATCAGACATGGAGAACATGAACAGCACTGCATTTTTCAAGTCATTTAAAATGCACTACAGATGCTTAGTAGTTACAGGAAACCTGAGAATCCTTCGCAAAGTCATCTCTCCCCTCCTTGGTCTTTTGTATAAAACCGGGTGTCATCTCTCCCCTCCTTGGTCTTTTGTATAAAACCGGGTTTTATAAGGTTTATTATCAATCAGGGGGCTCTTAAATGGGGGACCCCAGCTGCCTAAGGAGCTTGTGCGCCCTCTGAAATAGTATCCACAACTCTGCATTCCTGAGGGGAGAGGATCCAGACCTTCCATAGGGCTTGCAAAGGAGCCTGTGTTTTCAGAAAGGTGAAGAGTCGCTGCACTGACAGCTGTCTTGTGACTCTGCCTTTCCTTATAGAGCTTCCGTCTGCATCTTTTGGTAGAGATGCTCATTCCGGGCTTTCAAACTGATGCACAGAGACAAAAGGAAGCAGGGCACTGTCGATGTTTGGTTTCAACTATTAATCTCCAAGGTCACAAAAACCACCCTCTTTCCCACTTTAAACGGCACCCACATGAGGGCAACACAGCCTGTGCCACGTCCTCTGAGGGCACAAGGCAGGCAGATGCTTGGTCAGCAGAGGCCCAACACCCCGCCCTCAGCAGGGTCTGACTTCCTCAAGAGCGGGTTGGATGTAAAACACTTCACCAGGCCAGTAAGATCTTTCCACATTCTGAAACATTAGGTTTCATCATCTCTTGGACCTTGAATAAAATGTCTCCCCTACCAGTCTCTAAACGCAGGACTGTGTAGTCAACAACTGTAATGTGAGGTCACAAGCCATGTCCACTTACAGGCCACACCACCCCTCAGCACGTCACACCAGGCCACATCTCCACAGCTCCCCTCTGGGGTAGGGTCAGCAGGTGGCAGAAGTCGTACCAATTTCTACTGTAAGTTCATGTAGCCATCGTCTTGGCCTGGTACAAGCTAACCATCCGGGGTACCAACCACCTTATGAAGTTGGAACTACTATCCCCATTCAGAGATGGAAAAGTTGGCAGAGAGACTAACTGCTCCAACCACAGCGCTGGTAGGTGGCAGGGCCTGTACTCTAACCGGCCATGCTGTGCCAGCTCCCTGGTGAGATGCAACTCTGATTCCTAAAGCAGCCTAAGCCCCTGCAGACAAGTGGACAAAGAGAATCTGTGACACGAAGGCCCAAATACACATCCTCACCACCAGGTGGCTGCCTAGTCACCATGGAGCCCCCTAACCGTAAGTTCTCCAACCGCACCTGTTATCAAACAGCAGCACTGCACAAATGCAGCTTCGACTGCCCCAAAAGATGTCCCACTGCACAGTAAGTCTATTTTCTCCAAATTATGGGAAACAAATTAATGAATATGTATTTTAGTTCACTTTACGTCCCACCATTTTTTTTACTTTTGGCGCATTTATATACTGATAGTTTCTAACAAGCACTAAATCATATTTAAGTACCCCAGATAAGTCTGAGGACTTGAACTGAGACATCAGCCTCTGCAGGCTGTCATCCAGTCAGTCTCGCTCAACTAGCATCAGACCCCACCTTGTGCCAGCACCTCCCTCACTGCTGCCTGCCGCTGAGCAGAGAAGCATTCATGTTTATGGCTTTTCAAGGTCGGGAACTGTTCGCCTTCCCCACAGATCAGCCATTAGGAAGCTCTTGGGCAACCTCAGTCTCAGTGAGGCAGTTGGGACGAACATCCTTATCCCTTTCATTACATTTCTGCTTCCAGTGCACGCGGTGGGCAAATACATCAAGTCACGCAGTCTACAGACCAGTGAAACTGACAAGTCATGCCTGTAGGACGCACCTCATAAAAGAGCTTACACAACACGAGCTCCAGAGCCGAGGTGAGAGCTGGCGCTTGCTCCTTTAATGCAGCTTCTGCCTCCAGCCTGACCTTCCTTCCCACCCCAGCAGGGCAGCCACAGAAGATGCCTGAGACCACAGTGCAGGTTGTACAGGTTTATTTTTCCAATACCACGAGACATACAAGAGCAGTGCTTTCCCTGGGCAGCCCCACGGACCAGATCAGTTTAAAACTGAACCCTAGGGTGGCCCCAAAGGTCACAGCAGAAGGAAGAGGAGGATCAAACACGCTTGGGCCTCTGCTCCCTATCTTTGGTAAACAGACTCTTGAAGTTGACAACTTGGACTTGGCCAATACTGCATTGAAATCACCACATCATTGCCAACTTCTCACGCACGCTTCAGAGAACAAAAATGCCACATTGGATGAAATGGGGGTGGGGGTGGGCCTTGCGATGAAATGAGACCTGCTGAAGTCATACTACTGTTATACTTCACACAGAAGCACTCACACAGGGAGACTGAAGTTAAACAAGGACTCTCAACTATGCAACAAGTCGAGGTGCAAGAAATAAGGCAGGAAGCCGGGCGAGAGAAGACAACGATGGAGAGGTCTATTTGTTAGAAATGTGTTGTGAGAGGCAGAAGCAGGCCTGGCTATTTCTTCCCTAACCTGTTGTCAAAAGAATGCCAAAAGGAACCCGTGGCCCCCAGAGAGCATGGTCCCAGGTATTGCTGACAGGTGGGGTGGCCCTGGAGCCAGGTCTGGAAGGCCCACCTGGGGGTTGCCCAGGGTACTCACCCTTGAATGCAGAAGCACTTAACACTGACGGTGGTGGTGGTTTGTCACACATGGCAGCAAGCAGCCAGTGAAGGTTGGAGAAGAGATGTGAGGAGTAAGACGCATTTGCTCAGTAGCTAGTGGGCAGGCTGACCGTGGCTCTGCAGGCTGCAAAAGGTCCACTGGGTGACCTGTGACAGGACAATGGGCCAACCTAGCAGACGACAGGTCCATCACTCTACCCTCAGGTCGGGCAGCACAGCATGCAGTGGCTCTGACACAGGTGGAGAGAAGTCAATTACACCACTTTAATGCAATGACGCCCAAGACGTAAAGTAAGGGAGACGATCATGTTCTCTGTACAATACATCCATTTACAGAATTGGCCAGTACTGTGTACAACATATAAATACATGATAAAACATCAGAGGTGCATAGAGCATACTTACAGAAGCCAAAAAATTCACTTTATACATCCAAGGGTAAAGAGTTAAAAATATAAAAATAAGAAACACACACTGCTTTGAAATGACTTTCACATACACAGGTGTGTGGAGATGCCCACTCCCAGAGTCCAAAGTGACAGGGAGGGTGTCAGGCAGAGGCATTCACCCGCCAAACATCTGGACATCTGACTTACAAGGTCTACAGATGGCATTTTAAGAAGAAAGACACCCTATGCCCAAGCCCACTGTCCAAGCAGGTCTATTCAAGGTTCCAAAAGCTCCCGTGGGCCAGCGGATTGTACCGAGACAGCAAAGTCCCAAATCTGCTTCAGCAACAAAACCAAAGGTCAAACTGGCTCCACCAAAAGGCTGCGACCCTGAGGTCAGCAGGTGCTTGAACCCCCTGGTGGGCACTGCTGGGAGTTACTTAACCCTGTGCTGGTTCTTCCCCAATCATCAGCTCCCCGGAGTAGGAGGGTTTGGCAGGGAGGGGGCAGTGGAAGACTGACATTTCTACTCAGTTCGGGTAGGTTAGTTCCCTCAGTGGAGAACACATTCTTTCTTCAGCTTCAAGT